TCCTGCAGGTTACCTTAAGCATTAAGGTTGGAGTCAATGAGTTATGACTTTGTTAAACCAATGTTTAAGTGGTGCATGGGATGCCGATGGTGATTCTAGGCAACGATAATGGTGAGTGGAGGTTCATCAGCAGACCACAAGAGAAAATGAAATAGCAAACTTTATACTCATAGATACTGGAAGATGTACACAGCTAGCCTTCAGGGGCCACAGTGGGAGGTCAAGGTAAATTGCAGTCTAAACACATTTTAAGGATAGTTATTTAGAAGTCTGTGTCTGATACCTCCTTTCTCTAGATTTGCTGAAGATCTTTTTATGTTGTCCATCGTTTCTCTGGCCAGTCACTACTGTGGTCTCCTCTCCTAGTGTCACCTGATTATTTTTGCTTGAGCACTGGACATTGTATATAAAAAGTTATATAGGTAATTTGAGACCTTGAATTATATTAAGCCCTCTCAGAGAGTTACTCTGACAGGTAACTAGGAGTGTTGTTAGGAAATCCTACTCACTTTAATCCACTTTCACATATTTAGATGGTTCAAAGCTAGGATTCAATTCCACAGAGCAGTCTGCTTCCAGTTGTCCTGACTTCTAGCATGTAGCCCTGGAAGGTCTGGAATCAAAGTTTATCGTGTTTACCAGATTATGCTCCCCCTTTTTGTTCTCCTGGTGCTACAGGATACTTCCTGTATCTCAGCCACTTCTAGAGAAAAATCACCCCAAATGCCAAGTATGTCTCTGGATTTTCTCTCTGATTTGGATCTTTGTTTTGTAGCTTCTCACTGCCTGTCGGCTTTCTGAGTCCTTCACTTAGATGTTAAAACATATTGTTTAGCTTTTTCTAGTTGTTCATGTTAGCTAGAGAACAGTAGAGCAGAATTTTTGATGTAGTAATTGTCACTTCTCTTTTTTCCCCCTGAATGTGTTGTGCGGTGAGACTTGTCTCCTCATTCCTTGCTTTGTGGAGGTTCCCAGGGCCTCACCACAAGGTGTTTTGTTTTTTTCAGAGTCAGCTGATAATTAGTGGTGCTAATATAAACCATTGTAGTATGTAGGATATGTATTGGGAGAAGATACAAGAAAGCTGTATCTTACAGCTATGGGAAGCAGGGAAA